AGGGGGTCGCAAAAAACGGCGCTACGTTCGATGTGTTAAGATGACCGCTTGATGAAATCGACATTGTTGTCAAGAGAAGGTGTTTGTACATGCTAAGATTGAGTTGAGTTTGTTTTTATTTTTTCCTTTTGTCCACCTATTTACTTTTGTCTATTTTTTGTTTGATGCACTGAAATATAAAATCTATTTCAATCGTTACAGTCTGATGCGTACACCAATCCCAAAGCTCCAGTTTATATCATCACCGGATCAGCCGTAGGTTTTTTCTCTTCAAATTTCACTTGATTATCGCTGAGGATGCAAAAGAAACACTTAGTTCTTTGGTTTCAAAGCAGGGTCCACGCGTTCGCGCAGGCGGAGACATGGGTGGAGTCAGGCCCATGATGCGCCATTTATTACGTCCGCTTGCAGAATGGGCATAGGCAGGAAAGCGGAAAACGGTCCTTTAACTCTAACCATAGCTCCGCTCGTACAATAAGCACGGACTGTCCGTTTAACTAGAAACCAGGTGAGACTTCCCGGGATATTCTTCCCGATCAGGGGGTATTTGAAGGCGCGCGGCTTAGCTTTCCAACATAAGTGCTTATGCATATACTCCTGCCCGGCTTATTTCATTACCGTGTGGGAACAGAGAAGCTAAGGAGGTGTTTTTGCACCCTTGTTTTATTTTGAGAACTGTAGGAACTCTCGTTTTGTCACCACCCGCCTTCATGGACGCTATCGTATGGCCGCTAACAAAATGCAAATTACTAGGAACCCTCCCCCCCCAGGCTTTTGAGCAGCGACCTCACTCTTTGAGTTGCCTTAGATATGCTGAGCTTGGTGACATCACAGAAAACCAAAGATTTTGCTCTATTTAGGGCTGCCATTCAGGTTACGCTCTGTTCTCTGACAATCCGTGGCCGTTCAGCGCTGCTCGGTTTGTGAGATTGCCGGTTTTCGTTGGCTTTTCATCCATCGATCTTCTACTTTTCAGATTTAATGACTACGGCTATTCGATCCTCACCGTAGCCAATTCCACCCACTTACACTTTGAGCAAATTTCGATTGAGAAAAATGACACGGCTGTGGACGATTTATGGATAATAAAGACTAATGCGCACATTCACTCGCAATCATTGAGGTCAGTGTCTTGGCCTAAGAGAAATTTCCGAATGTGCTTGAGGCACAAAGCAAGAGGAAAATCCCAGAAAACCGAGCCTTAACCCCTACCCTTACCCGAAAGAATCCAAGCTTAAATCCCCTGGGCTTTTTTTAACCATATAGTTGCGACGCCTTTCGACAAGGTAGAATAGGAGAGATCGGAAAAGTAGGGAGACACAGATGTGAGCCGATCTCCTCCCATTCTTTGATTGTTCATGTCATT